TATTCCATAGTACTTGGAAAGTGCTGCTAGAATCGTGTGTTTAACATGAATTGATGACAATTCCTTGATCGTATGTATAAAATGTAAAAATTTTGGCAAGGTTTCATGCGAAACTTTGGAGCATTTTTTTCTATGTCGGGAGAGTAGGATTCTAGCAGCACTTTTCATGGTCCAGTGATGTTTTTAAATAATTATTTTCACAAAAAGAAATGAATTATCCCCGGCGTAGTGTTGAACTTTTCACTTTTTCATTAAGGCAATTTTTCTATTTAATGACGTCACGTGATGACGTCGTAGTGGAGTGCTTCTTTTAGCCTAAGACTCAATGACGTCTATACAATGGATAATAATAGTAAATGTTTTATCTATGGCTTTTCCGATTTATCAACGTTACATTTTAGGTAAAAAGTCTAAATTCGCCGAAATACAATGTATAATCTGGGTACTGCCTTAACATACCTGCGTAGATGTAATTAGAATAAAAAGTCCGCCGACAACCTGTATTATATGTAATAACTCTCGGCATGCCCCTGTGCTAAGAAAAAAGTGGCAAGCGACTTTTAATACAATAAATAAATCTGAAAAAGACGGGGTGGGACACTTTGAGAGGGGCAAAAGAGGCCATAGGGAGTTATGGTATAAAATTTCATTGCAAAAGCTCAAAAGCTTCTTGAGATATCGCGCGGAAACGAAAGTGTTACACACAGACGGAATGTATAATTTTACGACCTTGAACTTTGACCTTTTGACCTCAAAATCAATAGGGATCTTTCTTTGGCCACATGGAGTTGTTATGTAAAATTTCATTGCAAAAGCTCAAAGAATTCGCGAGATATCGCGCGGAAACGAAAGTGTTAAAACAGACAGAATTTATGGATTTATGACCTTGACCTTTGACCTTTTAACCTCAAAATAAATAGGGTTCTTCTTTAGGCCATAGGGAGTAGCAATGCAAAATTTCATTGCGAAAGCTCAAAGGTTTCTCGAGATATCGCGCGGAAACGAAAGTGTTACAGACAGACAGAAAAACAGACGGACGGACGGACAGACAGACCCAAATTAACATCCTCCACTTTCAGTGAAAGCGGGGGACAAAAATTACACACAAAACAAAGAAAGGTATTGATGAAAATGCGTACTTCAAATCATCATCTACCTGTAGAAACAGGGAGATGATGTGGCACCCCACTAAATGAAAAAATATGTTTACTATGTAACAATGGAAAAATAGGTGATGAATACCACTACATTTTAGAATGTACAGCTTTTTCAGAAATTAGGAAAGGATTTTTACATAGTAATTACTACAATTATCATTGCAAAAGCTCAAAAGCTTCTTGAGATATCGCCCGGAAACGAAAGTGTTACACAGACGGAATGTATGAATTTACGACCTTGAACTTTGACCTTTTGACCTCAAAATCAATAGGGGTCTTTCTAAGACCACAGGGAGTTGTTATGGAAAATTTCATTGCGAAAGCTCAAAAGGGTCTCGAGATATCGCGCGGAAACGAAAGGTTACAGACAGACAGAAATACAGATGGAGGACGGACGGACGGACAGACAGACGGACGGACAGACACAAATTGATATTCCCCACTTTCAGTGAAAGCGGGGGACAAAAAATTGATAAATACATGCTCATAAAGTAATTTTTTCTTCTTAGTAAAGTTGGTATAAAAAAATAAAATAAAGAAAAATAAAATAATGGAAAAAAACTGAAAAAAGGAAAGGAAAATCAGTTTCTCTGTACAGGACTGAGATCCATGGTCTTTATTTCAGATCATTAATAAGCGAGTGCAGAACGACAACGTTGTTTCGGTACCTCTTTTGAGTCATCAATATATTTCATAGTCTCCTCTAGAGTTAACACATAACAATCGTGCTTTGGGCTGCATTCGTGAGGAATGCTTCATTGAATTCACGAATATTGGATGTCACAATCAGAAGAACTTGTGGTTTGTTGATATAATTCTGCAGTCTCTGAGGGTCTTCTTTCGATCCTCTTTTCTTGGATAAAGCTGACGATATAGTTCCATTTTAAGATTGAGCTTTTCGACGAGGTAAGTTTCAATTTTTTGACAGTCAAGTGATGGTGGACGAGACCTTATGAATAGAGGAGACCATTTTTCTCCATTCAGATGTTGCTCCTGTTTAAGATTATATTCGTATTCTGATCACTTCAGTTTGATTGTGTTTCTTTTTTTTTCTCTAAATTTAGCTGTCTTGTAAACGCTAATTCAGATGATTTTTTGTAGATTTGTTGGCATGCAGCTTGCAGTGTATCTATTTGTTTCATGATCTTTGTGCTGCAGACTCAAGTTTTATTTATATCAATATATAATGTAATTAAACTACAATTGTTTTTAGCAATTCTCGAGACTTTTCTTAATTATTTTAGCCTCTGCATGCAGTCATGTCCTCAGGAGTTGTAGCGGTTAGAATGTTGTACACTTAATTAACAGCATGATAAAATTATTCTTATTGACTTGGATATAAATTCTGTAAAATATAGTCTATATATATTTTACTCGACTTGATATTCCTTCGGTCATCTATAATCTAGTATGTAAATGAATAGTTGCTTAAGCCAGGCTCGTAGGAAGCAATTTCAGTTTGGGGGGGGGGGGGGGGGGCACAGCCATACATTTTCAGTTGGGGGCACTATCAACTACCAAAATTCCTTGACAAGCAAAAAAAAAAAAGTGCATCAGACGTTTTCATTGAGGGGGGACAAGCTAGAAGTAGCTAAAATTTCTATGGTCATCTATATATCGGCAAAATTATTGGGGGGGGGGGGGGGCACGTACCCCCCGTGCCCCCCCCCCCCGGTTCCTACGGCCATGTAAGCTTTAAAGGGGTTTGGACACAGATTTGAATTTAGTATTTTCTTAAACTTTTGGTAAAATATTATGACTTATATGTTGCTCGAGAATTCCATACCGAAATATAATAGAGGCGTATTTAGAAACTTCTTTTACCTGGAAATTATTATAACTACGAATTTCGGGACGCATTTGATTGATACATACGCTTGCACTTTCACGAAACAAACTTTATCCATAAGGTGAAGATCTACTAAATGAGAGATGCCCACAGATTTCTCAAATTTCAGAAATAAACAAGACGTAGGTGAACAAGACGAAAAATCATATTTTAAACTGTCATTTTCAATGAACAATTAAGAAAATCAGTCATTAATACGGGAGGGTTTTTTTTTCCATATCAGACAATGGAAATGTATCGGGATTGCCTACAGTCTCTCAGAAATCGGTAAGCCTCTTTTTTAAAATAATATTAAATCGAATATAGATATCGGGATTTCTTCTCGCATGATTTCAAATTGAATTCCATGAAAATACTTTATTTTCTACATAATTCTATCAGAGCCTTAAAGTACGGGAAAAGAAAAGTGAAATGATTACTACGTATTATTGGATCTAGCACCAAAAAGTTAGTCTAAAGTCATTTTACTACATCTTGATCTTTTAAAAGAGAAAAGAAATTTTGTTGTGTATTAATGAAAACTATCACTTTAATCCAGAAAATCCAGAGAAGAAATGTGAGAAAGCAAAACCAACTCACCAGTGTCAGTCCGTGCTCAGTGATGTGTGAAAGTAAACAAATTAAACACATCCGTTAAAACATAAACATTAACAATAACAGAGCTCGTGTCCTGTTTACAAACGCAGATGTTTGACGTGATATTATGAAGAAAGTCGTAGTCATTGAATTCTAAGAATATTCATGTAAGTTCAATTGTTTAAACTGAGTTATTTTTGAATAAAATAGAAATTTAAAATTATAAGAAATTGAACTGTGCCCAGGCCCCTTTAATTTTAATGATAGCAGGACACACACTCCAGTTTATTTATAGATCGGCTGATACACGAAGTAACTTTCATTTTATTTTCTCCGAACTTTAATCGAATCACGTGGAAGATTTTCAGAAACTCGATGCAGGTGTTACAGGAATAGGTATTTAAATCTGTAAGTCATTCCTTAATTTATTTTTAAAAGTTTATTAAATTCCCCTTGAATGGAGCCCCGCGACTGGTAGAAATTTAAAATGCCTAATATCAATTTTTATGTAGGCTTTATCAGTCGTGGGGCTCCACTCGAGGGAATTATTTGCAAGTCTGGAACCAGCAGGTAATTTTAAAAGTTTTCGATCATTAACCTCATTTTTCCTTTATTATCTTCTTCAAATATCTCTTCGATATGATTTGAGAGTTCAGAATCGTTGATCGAAAGTAGATAAAATGTATACCAATTCATTGTATTTATTTAATCTAAAAACAATACTACTTTCGTTTTCTCTTCCTTCCTCCTCATTGAATAGTATTTCCCTATACAACGTTATATATTACAAAAAATTTGACTCTTGTTAAAAATCATTATAAAAAAGATCCATAGGTTATTGTAAAGATTAATACTAATTACAAGAGGGAGAAGGAGGGGGGACTCAACCTTAACCCAAGGGATTGAATGGTTTGCCAGTCTTATTTTCGTGTGTTGATTAAACAAAGCAATATCAAAATGATGTAAACTATACTTTTAAAACAATGACGTATCGCATTGATTTGTTCTTCAATCAAGGTCATTCAAAATTTCGTGTAGAGTTATTATGACGATTTCTCAACACCCAGTGAGAACTTTTGGACTCCTGTCAAAATCCCAAAATGTCCTAAGACGAAAGAATGAATGAAATTATGCAAAAAAATCTTTATTAGGATTCAAGAAATTGAGCCTATTCGTTCCCAAAATTCTTTTTTATAAGAAGAATTCGTTCTGAAAATATAAGATTTTTTTTTTATTAAAATTAAGTGTTGGACTCCAAGTTAGTGAGGTTTGGGCATAATTGAAAAAAAGATACCTGTATTTTTTCATTGTTTCTTCTTTTTGGAATAGAAAAAACGTAACCATTTAAAACTGATTTTCAATATATAGATTATATGTACATATATACTCCGTATATACAGACTCCGTATATACAGAAAATGTCCACTGAACGTGGCAACATTTCTGTCATCGACTCAAGTGATGAAGACAATGGAGACGAGAAAAATATCCGGAGTAGAAAACATAAATCAAAGGATACCGAAGGTACAAACTCATCCAGTGCATTCTAGATTTTAGATATCATATGCATTCTTATATACTTTCAGGATTTTTTTTTAATTTTTTTTTTCATCCTGTTTTCTTCCTACTTAATTTAGCATACGTTTTTTGGCATGATTTTGGACATCATGCAAGCAATAACGGCTATATTAATGCATTGTTAGGAGATTTATTCACTAATTAATGCATTTCTATGTGTGTTTTTGTTTCATTGATATGCGTATTGTCTGTAAAGATTACTTATTCAATTTTTCATCTGAGATATTGTACTAGCTGAACGATTTCTAATTATGTTTTCTTACTTTTTTTTCAAATGCTTTGATGAAGGACACAAAGAAAATAAAGTTGCAGAGAAGGTAAACGTAGTTAAAAGCACTTATAAGATAAATCTGAAATCACCAGAAGACAAACGCCAAAAAAAAAGACAAAAGATCAAGAGTTTAACAAATCAGTGGACTAATTCGGGTCGACATCATCATTAAAATAATCCATTAGAATTCTAATTAAACAACAAATTTGCTGCTTGTATGTAGATAAAGAAAATGTGTATGGTTGAAAATGAATCATAATTGCATTACTCATTTAATTTATTGATATGCACTTTATGAATACAGCATTATTCATTACGTTATTGATTTTTTTTCTAAAAAGTATGAAAGTTTAATTTTTTTCTAGAATCCTGTGAAAAAAATTTTCTACCATGAAATAAAAGCGAGACAGCTGCTTACAATTTTTACAAGTGCCTTAGATGATATAAAGGTAGACTTGGACAAATCAGAAAGGAGTGGAAAAGAAACTGTTACGTTATCATCTAGTAATCAAACATTACTGGCTACAGAAAAACAGAAACTAGATACATTACTTGACAACTTAAAATCAACAGAGATTGATTGCAAGGGCATTGATCCCTCTAAGATCAGTGATGTTATAAAAGAAAACTCCTTCAAGGTTGTAATCACCGTAAATTCAAATGGCAAGACTGTTGCATACTTTAATGAAAGTAATGAATTGCGGAGGTTAGAGAGTGTGTTGAAAGATATTACAAAAACTGATGTTGATGAGAAAAAGGAAAAGAAAACAGTCAATAGGCGTAATAGAACTTTTGGGAACATGAACGACACCGAAGCAAAAAAGTCGCCACAGGAGAATCGAGCATACGAGAGCCAGCTAGAATGGAAACCTTCGAACAATTCACTTGCTTCGAATGATTCTAGTGATTCTAAAGATACAAGGAACACTTCGTCTTCATTGGGAGAAAAAGCCGAAATTAAACAGATCATCACACAACATGGCATTACTACAAAACTATATAAAGGATCTATCACCAGAGCAAAAGTGGATGCCATTGTCAATGCAGCAAACGCTCAACTTGATAACTGTGGGGGAGTTGCTGAAGTCATTTCGAAGGCTGCTGGTGCTGAATTGGAAACAGCCTGTAGTAAAAAGATGAGAGAACGTTCTAAGATAAATGTTTCAAAAAATGTAGTCACCACCGGTGGAAATCTTCCTTGTCGTTGGGTGATCCATGCCGTGGGACCCCGCTGGAGCGATTACAGAAATAAAGAAGAAGCTCTGCAAGACCTTTACCAAACAGTGATCAATATTCTTCACAAAGCATGTGAACTGAAAATGGAATCTGTTGTTATGCCTCCAATTAGTTCTGGTATGTAGTTTAATTGAATCGCATACTTGTTGTAGATATCATCCATTGAAAAAGACAAAGCTTTACATATTGCGTTATGCTTTATTCAGTGCATATACATGTAATTAGATAGTCCTTCGCTTCAAAAACATATGGGTTGTTTTAGAATTATGTAAAACTTATTGTTTACTGAGTTAAAATAAGAGGAAAATCTAACAACTAACTAAAGGATGAAGTATTGAAATACATGAGGAGACACCACTTCAGATCTATCTTACTGATACTTAAACAATGGCACAAACTGTGCGAAATTATGTATGCGTAATAGTCTACAGTTAAGAAAGAATTGCATGAAAATGCATAGTATCAATAAAAATGCCTCAGACCAAATAGCTTATTGCAAATTTCAATTCTCTGGGCAAAATGTACAATATGGATCTCCTAGATATATTATCAACTGTAGAAAAAAAAAGAAGTGATGTATTTTTATACCGTAACACATTTAAATGTATACTTGTTTTCGGTAAAATATGCATTCAAAATGATTAAGCGGCTTTATAATCTATTCCAGGAATTTTTGGGGTTCCCAAGCAAGCTTGCGCTGCAATGTACGTACGAGCTTTACTCGATTTCACAGAAAACATCCTTCCTGGCCTCGACAATAAAATTAAAGAATTCCACATTGTTGACATCAAAGACGATATGCTTGATTCGATTTTAATGGAATATAATGGTCAACACGAAAACGGAAGGTCCTATCTTGAACCTAGCAGTGTTATAAAACGTCTTGGAATAGCTTCGTGGAATACAGGACATTCATGGAAGCGTGGTGGTTCTGACTTCAGCAATAATAACAATTTCAGCAGTGGAAATACTAGTACACAAACAAGATTTCCAAATAAATACCAATCTGGACAAAACGTTGTTAAATGTGTGTCGAATAAAAATGCTGCAGGCCCTGAAGAATTTCTCATAGGAGACCTATTAAAGGTTTTTGTATATAAAGAAAGCATTATTGAGTTGAAGAATATAAATATTATTGTTTGTGCAGAGGGTCGAGAGGGTTACGGACTGGGATATACCAGTAAGCAAATTATAGACAAGGAAAATGATAAATATAAGAAAAGAGTTAAAGAGCTTTTCAATAATTCCAAATACCGAAAATTTTCAGACGTTCTTCAAATTGATTCAGGAAAACTTCATTATGATTTGGTTTTCTTTGCAATTATCAAAAAATTCCCAAACTCAAAACCACTAGATGATTGTTTAAGTCTTTTAAAGAGAACAACATTAAATATTTTGGAAAAAGCTAACAAGAAGAAGACTAAACGAACCAAAAATAAACCACTATCTCTGGCCATGCCTTTGCTTGGAACAGGTTTGTGAACTTAAAATAATTTAGAATGTGCATGATTTTCCCAAGTTTTTCAACTATTCAGCGAATATAAGCCATAATCTGATGGTACAATCCAATAAATTTAATATATTCCAGGTTCTGTGAAAGACTCGCAGCATCTTCAGGAATATGCAGACGTTATTTGCAATTGCATTTTGGAATTTTCGAAACAGATAAAGCAAGACACAAGGCTCCGTGAAATACATCTAGTTAATCCACAGGCACCTGCCACAGATACACTCAAGAGTGCTTTCCAAAATCGTGAATGTGCAAGTCCTAACAGTACTAAGCAGTCATCTCCTAAACCATCTGGACAAAACGATACCAGACGCTGGCATTTTGATCCAAAAAAATATAAATACGAAGGAATGTGGAAGATACTTGAAAAAACGGTGATTCATTTCGAGGAATTCATTAAAGCATGTCCTCAGAAACAACAAACCGAAGAAGAAACATCAGCTTCTGGAGGAAAAAGCATATCTAAAGAAAGTTCTCAGGGTAACATTGTATTAATCGAATCTTCGGATGAAGAAACGGAAGACTGTGAGAAAAAACTCGAATTGGAAGAAAATCAAGCTATTGCAAAGGCAGGAGCAAACAAGGATCCTGACATTAACGCCCAGGAAAGTGATGACGAAAACTCAAAATGCATTATTTGTATGGATGAAAAGATGGAAGACCCAGTGACACTAAAGACGTGTGGCCATTGGTTTTGTAGGGAATGCATTAGAGATTACTTTCAGCACAAATCTGCTTGTCCTATCTGCAACACTGTGTACGGGGATATGTTTGGTAATCAACCAGAGGGAACTGCTAAAATCTACACAGACAAAGACAAATTACCTGGGTTTTCTTGTCCTACAATCATCATTGATTACAAAATCCCTGATGGTGTTCAAACGGTAAGTTCTTTCGTTCGATTTATGTCAATTTTCTTTTACAAAATGAAGTCAAATTTAAATAATATTGTACACAAAATTTTTTAGGACGAACATCCAAATCCCGGTGTTCCTTTCACTGGAGTTTCTCGCCAGGCTTATCTTCCTGATAATGCAGATGGTAGAAAAATTTTGCGATTGCTGAAACGTGCCTTTGAGCACCGTCTAATCTTCACAGTTGGTTTTTCTCGAACTTCCGGTAAAGATAACATAGTCACATGGAATGACATCCATCACAAGACCAGAAGAGATGGAGGTCCTGAAAGGTACGTAAATAGATCACTTCACATATGATTATATTATTCACCTGCCACAAAAACACTTGTATGTGTATTTTCATATTGCATATTTAGTCCTTTTCGAGAAGTGAGGTTATTCAAAGGGATTTGATTGTTTCATTTTAGATATGGATATCCAGATCCTGAGTATATAGAAAGAGTTAAAGAGGAATTGGAGGCGAAGGGAATCACAGAGAACTGATAATAAATGGACATATGATATGCTATATGATATTAAAGATATCTGCCAATTTATTTCATCAGAATGAAAAAAAAAATTATACTCTCTCTCCCCAAAATCATTCTGTTACAAAAGGCATAAAACAGGCACTTAAAACATGACAAATTGATTGAAAAGAGATGTGTATTTATTGGTAATTTGTGATGTCGAAAAAGGGTAAACTGTAATACTGAAAAGAGTACTAATACTAGTAGTAGTAGTGCAATATATTAATATCTTCGTATCATAATGAACAACTATTTTTGTTTAGTTAACCTTTTTAAAGTCTCTTAAACGATGAATAACTCGAGAATACTTAATAATTCTTTTTGATGTTATTCATTTTAACTGCAGTAATTTCCCGCTGGTCGTATCCAGGGCAATCCCAGCAGAAGCCAAATTGTTGTCTGATAAAACTCCATGTATACATGATATTATTGCATCTTTGATGCCAGGGTAAAACAAAAAAGATTTTCTTGGATGAAAAAGTTGAGGATAACTAACAGTGATCGTAAAGCCTGTACACAATACGAATCGTGAACTGGACAACACCAAGGATTTTTGGAAATACCAGACGTGGGATCATGTGCATTGAAGGATTAAGCATCCCATTTTGACCGGTCACCCGCCTATTGATTAGGTAAACGGAGTATTCCGTGGTCAATTTATTGTAAAAGAGATGACCTAATATGTCTGTCAAATTACGACCCAGCGATAGGTGTATCTACAAACAAGGTCATCAAATAGACCGCACAATTTTCGAAATCCTGACGTTAATAAGGTAGTCTGTACCTCAAGGTTCTGAAAAATTGAACCTGCTCAAAGAAATGTCACTGAACTCACAAAGAAATGTGCATTTTCCCATGTGACAACGTACTTCTTCAAAGTTCTTCATTATAGTTATTCATAATACATAGGGAAAATTATCAAACCACAGAGAACATTGATTGATCTCATAAATTCTGTGTATAAACAATACGAATCATGAACTTATTCAAATATACATGTATTTTAGGAAACGTGATTAAAAGCACTAATCAAGCCTTTTCTATCAACAAGTATATTATTGGATTTAAAAAAAACATAGGTATCAAGGCATTCGGGCAAAATATTGCATGTAATTTTATACTTAATATGTGGTATTTCAGTTCTTCTTTAATTGTTCACCGGTCACTGTATCCTAATGGGAGGGTGCTCACTCCTAGCTATTCGGGCCACGTCAAACCTAAGACGTAAACATTGGTCGTGGCTGTTCCTTCGCCAAGCGCCCGGCATGAGAAGTGAAAGTCACGGGTCTTTCGAATGAGATCTAAAAAATAACCGAAGTCACAACTGGCATAGGAAAAGAACCCTCACTGTCCAATGTACCTAAGTTCCGAGAATAGGCTTTCACCGGTAAATGATGACGTCTCTATGAGTGAAAAATTCTCAGAAACAACATACAGTCAATCAAAATGTGAATCAATCAATTGCTATATAACACATAGAGAAAAAACGAGTAATATCTGAAGAAAATATCACAGATCAAGTCCTATTTCATCTCACGATAAATAGCATTAGTATCTAATGCATGATTTTAGAGAAAATCAATTCGATTTCTCTAAAAATGTATTTCTTGTACTTTAATGGGCTGCAAACGTCTTTTAATAAGACCCCTTCTAAGACTTCACAAAATATTGAATCGTATAAAGATGCCTAAAATGAAATTGTTGCACACCAAAAAAATCAATCTCAAGCTTCATGTTGGGACATTTAATTAAATAAGAAATTTTACAGTTATTATTCATGGCTGAGGAGCGAACATTGTCAAAAGCCCTGGAACATCAATTTATTTATCAGTAGCCTGCATCGGTTAAAAATTGATCGTACTCAGAATATTCAGATTATGCTCCTGCGTGTTGAATCAGTTTGGAAGACGTGAACGCAACATGCAGTAAATACTGGAATATGACTGCATAAGTAGGGAAGTTTACGAATGAAAAGTTGAAGTAATCAGGTTTGTCGTGCAACTGTGAGTAGGCCATTAACTTCTATAGTCAGTAAAACATCCAAATTTAAAACATTGACAGGCTTCTCTGATGTCTTTTATTTCGAGTTCACTGAGAAAACAACTATCATTAATTGATACAAGCTAATTCAGAGAATTGTGTTCCCCGCTTAAGGAAAAAAGAAAAGGGTGGAAGAACTGAAAAAAAAATTTGCAGATGGAGAAAGAAAAAATGTCAACCTTGACCTTTCAGCTTTTGGCCTTAAAGTCAATAAGAGTCTTTTAAAAGAAATCCATCACCAAAAGTTTCATTGCAAAAGCTTAAAGAAAAACTAAAACCTTTATACTATATATGCAATATACATTTCTGAACTTGACCTTTGGTTTTTTAAGGCCATGGGGAGTTGTGATATAAAATTTCATTGCAAAATCTCAAAGTATTTTTTTAAGATATAGTTTAAGTGTTGCACAGACAGAATGGATGAATTTATGACCTTAACATCTAACCTCAAAATTGATAGGATTATTCTTTAGTCCATGGGGAGTTGTGATATTATACAATAATGGACTTCAGTATGTGGTTATAAGCACTCAGGTCAAGTGATATTGACCGAAGACACAGAAAGTAATAGCGACCGAGCCTGCAAGGTCGCTATCATTTTCTGTGTCTGAGGTCAATATCTCTTAACAAGTCCATAATAGTTATATTATATAATCACTAAAAGTGAATAATCTGACACAGTCCTAACTGACTTGGCTATCGTTACGTCACAATGGTAAAAACATGCTTCTTATATTATGACGTATGGTGAGTCGTGCGATATCATATTCCGTGGATGAGCTTTCACAACAATATCACAATAGGACGAACATCACGTGACTTCCTTTAAGCCAATGAAAATTACGAAAGTAATCTTAATATATTATATTAAATTTTATCGAAAAATAAAGTTATCATCTGGAAAATGTTATTTGCTATGTTTGAATTTATTACCTTTGACCTTTTGACCTCATCTTCTTTAGGTCATTAGGAATTATGATATATATATATTCATTGCAAAGGGTCAAAGACTTTTTAAAACATTCCAAAAATGAAAGTTTTTCACACAAACAGAATGTATGAATTCATGACCTTGACCTCTGATCTTTTACCTCAAAATCGATAGGCGTCTTCTTTACGTCATAGAGAGTTGCGATATTTTTTACTGAAAAAAAAACTCAAAGAAAACTTATGTTAGCAGCTGCAAAATGTTATTTGTAATGTACATTATTTTTAATCCTTGACCTTTGACTTTTTCACCTTAGAATCAGAAGGAATCCTCTTTAGGCCATAAAGAGTTGTGATATGAAATTTTATTGCAAAAGCATAAAGACTTTTAAAGACTATGCCCGGAAACGAAAGTGTTATACAGAAACAGAATGAATGAATTTATGACCTTAACCTTTGACCTCAAAATCAATAGGGGTCTTCTTTAGGCCATAGGGAGTTAAGGTATAAATTTTTCTTGCTTAAGCTAAAAGGCTTATTAAGATTTCATCTGCAAAAGTTTTACATACAAATATAATTTATGAATTTATGACCTTGATCTTTAGATCTCAATATCAATAGGGGTCTTTTTGGGCCATAGAGAGGTGTAATATAAAATCTCATTGCAAAAGCTCAAAGGCCTCTTTAGATATCGTCCGGAAACGAAAGTGTTACACATATACGGAAAGTGTGATTTTATCTTGACATTTGATCTTTGGTTATAAGGAGATGTGATGTAAAAATTCATAACAAAAGCTTAAAGGCTTCTTGAGACATTGTCCAGAAACGAACAAGTACCCGAGACGGTCAGATAGACAGACCCAAATTAATACCCCAGTTTCAGTGAAAGTGGAGGACAAAAATGTCATCGATTTATTTATATAATCATAGCCAAATTGAGGGCTACAGCAAGGTTGTTCTTCTTTTCATGTAGAGGTTTTTTGAATAAAAATCAGCCAATAAAGGAGCACAATTAGTACATTTTCAGTATGACCAAGGTAGTCCCACCCTGTTCATGAATTTCACACTTTTGGTAAAGTATTTGTTTTTCATTATATTAATACCAGCTTCAGTTTGACTTGATATGTTCAGGAGTAAAGTTTGTATTCATTTTGAGGGTTTTGATAACACCATTGGGGCCTCAGGAAGGCAGAGACTACAAATTTCAAATATTCTTTTTCTCACTACAAACCAGAATTGGTTAAAACTGGTTTAGCAACTAAAAATTTCTCAAATTTATGTCCGATGCACGACACCGGATGACGGGAGAATACTAGTATGTACAGTAAAATGTTACCTGGTTGACTCAGGTGATCTTAAAAACGTTACAATATAAATTCTTAACAATGTTTAAAAAAAAACAACAACAACGAAGCAGAACAGAATAAAAATACAAAAAAATTTAAAAAGAAAAAGAAATAAACAAACAAATTTAATCTTGCAAAGATAATTTTCTTAAGAAGAGTCAGTCAGATTACTTACATGACTGTACATTCTTTATTTGATTTCGTTCAATTTTGCATAGAAAAAGGAAGCTGAACGATTAGCTATTTATTTCAGACGTAATAATGGAAAAGAAAAAATAATATAACACAAGTTAAGATTGTTTTAATTTTTAATCAAATTTGCGGAGATTTTTCTGTAGTATAGATAACACTGTCAATTAAATTATATCATACCCTTTTAAGCAAAAATAATATATGAAGCAAATTTTAGAAAAGCGATGTTGTTCATCAATATTAAGACGATATTTCTTGCCAAATTTCTACAGTTCGCTCGGAGGTTTTACGTAAAGAAGGATGAAAGATGGGTTTTTTTCGGAAAAGCAAACAACGGAATGTACATTTAGGTTATCGCAATATTCTGAACAATTCTCTTTACCAAATGAATTGATAATATCTGAATATGAAACAATTTGATTTTACCACTTGCTTCATTTATAAAATGAATAGATGCACTTTTCAATATAACTGACCTATTTTCGTTGTAAATGATGTAATTATTAAATTCCTAAAATATTTAAATATTGTAGATTGTCTATCATATGCTCAAAATTCTTGTTGTTTATTTTTAAACACATAGATTTAGTATTTATTTTCACGATGTGTTTTATAAAGTTTGTACAAAATGGCCTTATGCTATCATAATCTTCCGCACAATATGACGATATGTACTTCTAACCTGCATGTGTAACTGCATGACCTCACAAATGACATTGATGTAAACAAACACTGACATGTTTTGGTGTGCTTTCTTGTATGTCACTTATTTGTTCTTCCTTAAATAAGGTAAAATATTTATAGCTCTTCAGTCTATGAAATCTCGGAAGTTATATTTTATGTTGTGCACAGTATTGCATGCATGAGGAAACATCGATAGATCGTTACTTGTCTACTTTCGTTTTAAATTCCTTGAATGTTTACGTATATATGTTTCAGTGATTTCTGCAATCGTATAGCGGTAAAAGATGGCATCAGCAGTAGGAATTAGGAGAGAATTTAACTTGAAATGGAACAAAGATACAATTATTTTTAAGATTTACCGCGGTTCCATCACAAAACCTAGTGGCCCTGTTGAAGCTATCGTCAGTATCTGGGATAGAGGCAAAGCTGAGGGTTTCTCAGAGGCAATTATAAAGGAAGCAGGGAATGAGGTTGTTGAAGAGATCAGGGCCAACAGACAGATAAAAAATAATGAAAATTTGGTCACAAAGGCGGGAAGGCTTCCTTGTAAATTTATTATTCACTGCGCCTGTCCACGTTGGGAAAATTACGACATGGGAAGCAAGGCAGAGTGTCTAAAAGATCTCTGCGAAACTATCACGAAAGCTCTATTAACAGCATGTGAAAGAGGTGTAAAATCTATTGCTTTGCCACCTATAGGCTCAGGTAAGTGTAAAATTCTTCAGATATCCATGTATCATATCTTGTTTTTCAGTTCAGTTTCAGTATCATATTTTATTCAAGTTTCAAGTAAATTATAATTGTCTTTTTCAGGGAAAATTTTTGGAATTCCAAATATTGCATCTGCAGCAATGTATGTAAAATCCGTAATGGAATATCGAAACTTTCTACTAGGAAAAAATTCAATCAAAGAAATTCACTTTATTGATAAAAAAGATGACATGATAGAATTGGTAATAGATACATACGAAATTGCTCTTCTTAACTCAGGATATCTTGAGGAAAAATCTGTGATGATGCGATTGAATGATCAAGAGAAACATCTAGGACAAATTAGGTATCCAAATAAATCTTCAAATACATATCCATCCAACTGTGTGCCAGGGCAACAACAATGCCCAAACCCATACAACAGCATTCCTTCCACAGTCCCAATGCCTCAACCTGATTTTAAACAGTTTCAATACCCTTTGCAGTCTAATCCTTACACTCCAAGCATAGCAAATATAAGGCACATTAATTCCAGTGGAGGAACAGAAATCTTTGAGTTGAATAATCTTAATGTGCTTATTTACACTGAGGATCTCACAAAAATTCACAACATCGATATTCTAGTGTCAACAGAAAATGCCCAAGTGCCTGGAAACGGCAAACTTGCAAAAGCAATTCTCGAAAAGGCAGGAAATTCATATCAAAAGGAGCATACCAAACTGTTTTCAGGGAAGAAAAAGCGTAACACAACCGAAGTATTACAGACTAGTGCGGGATGTCTTAGTTTTAAACTTGTTTTGCATGCCATTATTGAAAAATTTCCGGATGACCTTCCTTCAGATTTTTACCTACAACAGTTATGGGATACTACGTTGAATATACTAAATGCAGCAAACACGAAAAAGGTTAAAAGGAAGAAATTGTTATCCATTGCTTTGTCGCTATTAGGGACGGGTGAGTACATATACCGGAAATTAAACATGAGTTTAAGGTCGTGTCCGGATTATATACAAGTATTCTTTAGACTAGGCATAGTTAGTAGGGATGGGTGCTGTTTTAATTTTTCTTTAATAAAAAAAGACGATGTTTTAAAAATTTAAGTTTCAGAGCTAGCAGGTTTTAAGTGGGTTTTTTTTTTTTTTGCAATGTTTTCCCTTTTCAGGTTCAATTCAGGATCCACAACATCTAGCAAGATATGCTACAGTTATGCTACAAGCAATTGAATCTTTCTCATCAGCAAAAAATGTCAATTTAAAGGCGATTCATATTGTCAATTTTACTGAACAAACAACAGAAGTGGTTGTCGATGTGTTTAGATCCTTCTGTTCGAATTCAAATCGTCAAAGAGACCGGCAGGTTATTAAGAAAAAAGAGACAAAAAGTGAGATTAAGAAAATTTTTTATAAAGATTCTCACAAGTTTAACCCCAAAAATTATAAAAGGATCGATTCTTGGAGATCGTCTGCAAACCACGAGCAAAATGTGGAACTGTTTTTGGTATCCGTACCTCCCAGAAGTACCTGTCTTGGAGAGTTTAACAATTCCACCCCAGTACAAAAGCGTGGATCAAAATCTGGTACAGGAAATCTTCTAATGATCGACTCGGATTCTGAGGATAGCGATACTGAGATTTCAGACACCCGCCTTGATAGTGAACTAACAGAGAAAGATGCCTGCGCAGATGTGGCAGACGAAAATGAGACTTTGTGCGTCATATGCATGGATGATGAACTGACCGATCCAGTTCTGTTAAAAGATTGTAAACACGAGTTCTGTCGTGAGTGTATAACAGAATATTTATACCATAAATCGGCTTGTCCTGTTTGCAATACGGTTTACGGGGAAATGTACGGAAATCAACCGGAAAACGGGACTGCTACAGTATATCTCGATGATGCCTGTCTTCCGGGATACAGCTGTAAAACACTGATAATCCATTATGAATTTCCGGATGGAAATCAAATGGTAGACATTTTGTTTTATATTATTGCGTTCGATATATTCGGTACTTTTGCATAAAATCTAATATTCGATGACAATTTCTAAAAATATATATATATATATAATTTAGTTACACCTATATATATATATATATATATATATATATATATATATATATATATATATATATATATATATATATATATATATATATATAAATTTATTTTTAACAGGAAAACCACCCTAGTCCTGGGGAACCGTATCATGGCCTTTCCCGTCAAGGTTACTTACCGGACAATAAAGAGGGGCGTCTGATTTTAAGGATGCTGAAGCGTGCTTTCGAGCATCGTCTGATTTTTACTGTTGGTTTCTCTCGAACTTCCGGTAAGGATAATGTAGTCACCTGGAACGACATCCATCACAAAACAAGGAGAGAAGGAGGACCCGAAAAGTAAATTTAAAGATGATTTAAAAAAAAAAGTATACAATCGAAAACAAAACAAAAAAATGCAAAACAAAATCAAAAGCAGAAAAAAAAACATGTTATGAAACACATTTTGTCTTTTATGGTTTCATTTGTAATTAGTATCTCTTTGATCTAATTTTAAATATTTATCAGGAATTTAATTTAAATTTTTCGATTCTTACGATTTATATTGTTTCAGGTATGGTTATCCAGATCCAGATTACCTGTCAAGAGTTAAAGATGAACTGAATGATAAAGGAATTTCAGAAGAATGAAAACTGGGAGTTTTTATGGAATGATTGATAATAAAGATTCTATTTTTTTTTTTTTATTTCTCCCCAACAATATTCTAGTACAATGTTGCTGAGACTAACTGTTTTATATACTCCTTTCCAAAAAATTATGTATATTTGATGTTTCGTGCAAACATTGTATTCATACTCACGTTTAAACCAGTTTTTTTCTGATATTCAAGTCTTTTTCTTCGGATAAACTCTATGTCCGTGACTTCAATATATGATTTGTTTACTTGACCTTTGCAATTCCATCTTGTTATTCTATTTCTCTGGTCGCCCTCGTGGGGCAGTGGTTAGAGCGTCTGCTCTAGAGTCGCGGAGTAAGGAGTTGATCCTGATTAGCTGTTTGTATTATCTAATCTAATTGTCTCGGCATTTCTATGTTATAGAGAAAGCGCAGTCTGTTCGGGGGAAAAAGATCCGAAATTTTAAGTGCGATAGGTGTTAAATATTGCCTTGTATTTTTTGATAAATCATTCTATATAAATACACAATGGTTTAATTAGAAATACATCGTTATACACAATGAAAATTCGTTTTACACAAGAAAAAAAAAGTATACTAATATTTAAAAAACAAAATCTGTACGTACCTGCATGTAGAAGAAAAATTCTTGTGGCTTCGTCAATGAAAGTTATGAAAAAGGAAACAACACGATAGCTTGTCCTTTTCCTAGAACGTGTCCAATAATAAGGAAATAACAAGTGAAGACCTGAAAATTATCTCGCATTTCCTTTTTTAATTAAAATAGATTGCATCCTTGGAAAATTGTCCAGGGTTTGTATGATAATTTTCTGCAGACAGACAGCTACAATTTTTTCTGATATAATAAGACAAAGTATCCTATAATTATGAATACACATACACTAGATCCTTTTCATGAATACATATACGAGTATATGCTAATTTTACAAGAAACCGGCTATTAACATATCACAATAAGTCATATTTGTTTAAAATCTAAATCTGCATGCAAATATTTACTATTTGTTATGTTTCGAAAACTCCCCCCAATGCTCCCCCAAAGCATATTTATTCTTTGAGTTAAATGAGTTTTTTTCAAGATTGGGATAGGCACTGGAATAGAGCATTTTATACAACTATAATTTATATTCCAATATCCCCCATGCATGTTTCCTCTTTGAGCTAAACTTTTATTTAAGATTGGCACAGGAATGAAACATTCTTACTTAAAGTAATCGACTTTCAAATTTTATTCAGTCACAAAGAAATACAGAAAGCGAATTTCTTTGTGCTTTCTATATCAATATTTCTTCACTTAGGGCAGTTATGTTAGTTTAAGAGTCGTTGTAAAATGTGCTTTATAAATAAAAATTAATTTCATTACAACGTGTATTGGTAACGATCCTCTAATAAAACTAATGTCCGAATAACTTTATCTCAATTCCATTCTCAATAGTTTTTTGTCTTGCCTAGATAGCTGAGCGGTCTAGCGCGCTGTTCCTGTACTGCTAGGAGACAGATTCCGTAGGTCGAGAGTTCAACCCCGGACTGGGGCAGAAGTGGGTATCCTTTTAAAAGTGAATTTCTTTGTGCTTTATATATGTATATATGTATATATATATATATATATATATATATATATATATATATATATATATATATATATATATATATATATATCGTTTATATATATATATATATATATATATATATATATATATATATATATATATATATATATATATATATATATATATATATATATATATATATATTTATATAAACGAAGGGGAAGCAGTGGATTTAAAAAAAAAAGAAATCATTTGTTTTGTTATTCTATAATTTGATTCTCTGACCCTTAAAAGAAAAATGTTGTTTAAAGATTTCATTGTGATGCATCTCTGCTTTTTTTTCAGAGATGATAATAATGCCACAAATGGTGCAAAACACTTTAAATTTTTTATGTTTCATATCGTTTTGTCTGTCTCTATGTCCTCATATAAATATGAAGATTTTTTCATGTCACCTTAACTTCACTTGTTTGCTATATTTTAGCTAAACATTTCTGTTTAAGTACAACTGTCACTTTCCTATGACAATCCTTAGTAGGGCCCCCTCTGACTTTGTTAGTTTTTTTAAGAGAGGGGGAGAGAGGGGGGAAGAGAGATCGGTGTGACCAATCTGCATTTTGATTGAATAACCTATTATCCTTGATCCAAGGTTGGCAATTATCAGCATTTATTGTTATTTTGTCAAGAAAGTAACCGATCTTAGGTCCAAATTATGTATGTGTATGCAGTTGATTCGAGTAATGCATCAGACATCTCCTGTTACGTGTCTTTTGTGGTTGTAATGTTGATTCCATATTTGCTGTTTAATTATGTTTGCTTTCAAAGTGTTACTATACACATTAAAAATACTAGTTTCTTATGCAGAGTCAAAGTTGCTGAAGTCAAAATGTTACTTGTGGGTACCAGTGTGGCTGAAGTAGAACAGGATTGGCTAGCTACGTTTTTTGTTTAATCAATTAAAAACTTGATATAATTTTCCTATAAAAGCTTTTACGCTATATAAGGACATATCTCTTTTTGGTCATATTGCAGATTAAATAAACTGCAGTCATATCAGGAAATATGAGATAATTAATTTTTTTTTTTTTTTTTTTTTTTTTTTTTTTTTTTTTTTTTAAATTCAATTTGTTCACATATTTCTGACGACATGTCATAATGTTTACAAAAGTCTTTATTTGGCAAAGTCAAATTTTGTGAGAAAAACAAATCTGTTCAGTTGGAGTGGATAAAAAATATGGACAATTTTGACTACGAAAAAAGACTATGAGAAGTCAATCGAAGTATTCAGTTGACGGTTCTTTGACGACCCATTGATCGTAATTGACCATTAGTTGAATTTTTGGCATACAAATCAAGGAGCGTTCAACTCATCTGCATATAGTTGACCTCTGTTGAATGCTCTTATATACATGAATATTCTGTGCAGTTAACCACTGAAGAATGCTTTTACACTTTCTGTGCAGTTAACCACTGTTGAATGCACCAATATTTTCTATGCAGTTGACCATTGTTGAATGCTCCTTTATTTTCTGTACAGTTGACCACTGTTGAATACTCCTATATTTTCTATGCAGTTTAGCACTATGGAACGCTCCTATATTTTCTGTACAGTTTACCACTGTTGAATGCTCCTATATTTTCTGTGCAGTTGAGCAATGTTGAATACTCCACATTCTTGAAATTCCTTTTATAAAAGGCTGGTTTTAGGTTGTATTT